AGGAGAAATGTTAATTCAGATCTCCCCCTTTAAATTTTTTTTTTTTTTTTTTTTTTTTTTTGTGGTACCAGGGATTGAACTCAGGACCTTGCGCTTGCGGTCAGGTGCTGTGCCTATTCTACTGAGATATCTCCCCAGCCCCTTTTTTTCTTTCTACTGTTGATTTTTAGGAGTTTTTTATAGATTGGAGGTACCAGAGCCTCATCAGTTATAAAACACAAATATTTTCTCTCATTCTATGGGTTGCCATTATCTTCATAGTGTTCCTCTGTTCTGTAAATGCTTCACTCTTGATAGTACTGAACCAATCTATTTTTTCTCTACTTCCCTGTGCCTTTTGATATCATATCTAAGAAAACGTTGCCTGATTCAAGATCACACATTTGCAACTATGTTCCTTCTCAGTTTTATATTTTTAGCTCTTAGGAATTTTTTTATATGATTAATTTTTGTACATAGTTTTCTTAGTGACTTTTGTTAATGAGACGAGGGACCTGCCCCTTAGCTCAGTTCTTTAAGTGGCTGCTTCAACAAAGCAGTCAGGCTCAGGTTGCTGTGGTTCGATCCCCACAACTCAAGCCAGCCAAACCTGCCCTAAAGACATTTGGAGCCAAAAAAAATCCTTCTGTTAATGAGACAAAATACTTAACACAGAGAGAAGGAAAGGTTTATTTCAGCTTGTAGTTTGTAGAGGTTTCAGTTCATAGTTGGCTGGTTCCAAAGAAGGTGGCATGGCGGAGGGGCTTTACAGAGGAGAAATAGTCCATGACAAAGCAGGCAGGAAGCAGTGAAACAGCGAGCAGCGGCAGCAGCAAGCCTATCTTCCCTCTCTTCCTTAATAGTTCATCCAGGCTATAAGCCTATTGATTGGTGCCACCCATGGCCGGGGAGGGGGGCTTCCATTACCCATAACCAGAACTAGGTTAAACCCATTTAGTTATCGCACTTACTAATCCCAGTAGCACACACTGTAATCCAGCATTGCACACCTATGATCCAGCCACCTCCCACAAACCTCACCTATGAGCACCTGAGGCTTTGGGGGGAACATCCAGATATAAGTCACCACAACAGTGTAAGACAGGGATCCAAAGTCCCTCTTTTTAAATGCATGTGCATATCTAGTTGTCTCATCATTTGCTGAAAGAACCATTCTTTCCCCACTGAAAGGTCCTACCACTTCTGTTGAAAATTAAATCACCAAGGGCCCATGAGATAGCTCAGCAAACTAAGTGGCTGCTTAGGGACCGGGTTTGATCCCCAGAACCACATGCTGCACCAGTCCCACCTCTGGGTCCACTGAGCTGGCCACAGGGACAGTGCATGGTGGTGCACATGTGTAATCCCAGCACTGGGGAGGCTGAAAACAGGAGGATCAGTATGAGTCTGAGTGGTATAGTAAGACCCTATACCAAATAAATATATATTTAACTGGCACTTCAATCTCTTCTTAGATAGATCTCTTAAGATATTCTATTTTTTCTTTGCTCAGTATTGGTTTCTATCTTTTTAGAAATATGTCTGTTTCATCTAGGATACCTAATTTGTTGGCATACAGTGGTTCATAATATTCTCTAACTTCTGTAAGATTGGTAATTATATTCCCACTTCATTTCTCAGGTTAGTAAGTTGAGTCTTCTTTTTCTTGGCCAGCCTAGCTTAAAGTGTATGAATTCTTTTAACTTTTCAGGGAATCAAATTTTGGTTTTGTTTATTCTCTCTGCACTTTTCCTGTATCTCATTTATATCTGCCCTAATCTTTAATATTTCCTTCCTTCTACTAGCATGCATGATTTGGTGAATACATTTTTAGTTTGAGCTTCTTTTTCTAGTTTCTTAAGATAGAATGCAAAATTAATAGAGATATTTTAATAAAT